TATATATCAAATATATATTTTCTGTAAATAAGGTTGCTATGACATCTACATTTTAGAGACCAGCGAAATGTCACAATTCTCAACACCACAGCAGAACACCAGAGTAACTAATATTAGTTAAAAAAACAACAACAAAAAAGGTCCTCAATTATTGAAAATAATTAAACTGCCAGTAATAAAAAAAAGCAAAGGAATACAATGCCAGTAATAAAAAAGCAAAAGAATACAATAGAATAAAAAATATACAAATGAAACAAACTGTGCTTTAAGTTTTTTAATGCAAGTCTAAAGTATTCAGTTAACAGCCTACTACAGAAATTGAATGACTTAATGTAAAATAAAACAGCATAGTCTTCACTGTAAGAATTAAACTTCCTTTGTTTCTTATTAAAGCTACAAAAGTCCTTCAGTCAAGAGCAGTGAGTGATTTTGAATGTGTCTTTTGTTGTTTGATTAATATTAAGCACACAGTCAGAAGCTTGAATAGCCCACTGTCGCTTTAAGAGCCACACGGATCCAATTTACTGTTACACAAGTATTTTCATTCTCAACTCTTTACATTCATTTATTATATAACCGATGAGGGTATACATGAATAATCACTAAGCTCCGCACTCTGACACATTTTTGTGTGTATTTGACCGTTTAGGTGCTAAAAGATCACTTTACATCCGTGTTGTGTTCCGTCTCTGAGCGCATGCACAGTAACGTTAATCTTCCCGAGGAAGTGCAAGTTCTCTTTCACGCTTTTAAAAACATAAATAAATCTAATCAACTTAAATAAATCAAGCACGTCCCGTTTTTCAAAAGTCTCGTTACATGATTTTACTGATTTGCACGTGAAATTGGGCTTTTATGGAGGAACGAAAGAGCACCGCTGGAATGGGACGCAATACTCGTTTTATCTCAATTACTGTATTTTCATAATTGTAGGAGGCAGAAATCGAAATCGAAACTGAATTTCGATTAATTGCACAGCCCTAGACTACATTCATGTTCATATGCCCAGACAATCAACAGTGATAGGTTTTTGGAAACTCTGTTTGGTACTCATTCATTCACAAGTCTGCTGCGGTTCGGTCCGTTGAATGTGCTGCAAACTCTGCCGGTTGAGAAAGACGAGCTGCATCGGGAAGGCGAAGCCTCGCGCTCGTGGGACGAAACCGGTGACATTATTCTACTGAATGAAAGCTAAAGTTTATCCAAAATGTCGCTAGTTGCTATGCGCTTTGTCTTACAAAAAAGTCAGTAAACACTAGTGGTCGACCGATATGGGTTTTTTGACAGCCGGTGCCGATATCTTGGAAAGCAGGGTGGCCGATATAAAGACGATATAATTTTATTTATTTTAATTTATATTTAAGAAATTTTTAATCATTTGAAAATGGATTAAAAATAATTGTGTAAAATAAACATACTTATACTTTAGAAGACAAAGCATTTTTCACAAATAAATAAATATTTAATAAAAATCTAATTAAAAAGGAAGTAAACACTGTAACCAACAGGGCACTCAGTATTCTGGGAAGTTTGTGTTTTGTTTTTTCAAATAAAGCCAAGGTAACACTCATTTTACATAGAGCACGCAATGAAAATGACATGAATATGACAGTGGGCAAATGCATAAAGCACAGCATAATTTGAAATCACTAACTTAGTTTAAAGTTTGTCGATAGCGCATCTCCAGTGAAGCTGAACTCTCCTCCTGTCAGCATTCAATTTGCACGAACCGACCGTCACTCAGAGAACACGCGATCATGCAGGATACAAATGCACACTTTACACGATCTCCCAACTGGATCCGACTAAGTTTGCAAGGTTTGTGAAATTAAATGTTCATTAGTCATTCAAAGATTTGTTTAAATGATATAAATGCGTATTTGCTGAATGCTGACGGCAAATGATAAAGTATCATAATGTTTGCCTTTCTATAACTAATAATATTAAAGCAATCGTTATAATACTTTTTTTGTATACATTTTAATTCCTTTGTTTAACAGTTCTATCTGATTATTAGACAGACTTCTATCCGTATTAGACAGAACTGAATGACGACAGCGAACAAGAGGGAGAATGTGCTGCCGCTGTCAGCGCCGTCAAAATAAAAGTCCCGCCTGGAACACATCGGCCAAACAGAAAAACTTATCGGCCGATGCCGATATTTGAAAAATGCCAAATATTGGCCGATATATTGGTCGACCACTAGTAAACACTGCGCTTTGCCTTCAGTTCCCTCCATTATAAATTAGATCAACTACAGGACCTTGTGCAAAAGTGAGTGATCTTACAAAATCACACACATATCTGTGTACGTAATAGACTGGTCAAAAGCTGCAGTCACAAGACACGGCTCAACAGTGAACTTACATCATAGCCGAAGGAAACAATGACACCATTCTCAGGGCGAGAGAGCCAGCGCTGCATGTGACTAGAGAACAGGATCACGTACCGCTTGACCAGAATTTCACTCGTCCTACCTGACACTAACCGGCTCAGACCGGCTACCGCATTCTAGATCATTCTAGACATTCCCCCTGCTATCAGTTACTATGCACTTTTCAGCCTGGCTAATTGTGATGATAATTACTTTGCACTTTCATTTCAGGATGTTAACATTACAATAACAAGCCTTTAAAACTAACAAACTACACAAGATACTTTTGGCTGTAGATAATATGCACATACACTCAGTTAAACACAAGTGACCAGCACAATGCAGACTCTCATGTCAGTATAAATGGGTGGTACTACCTTCCTCCTGACGGGTGGAGTCCTCAGGGTTACTTTCACTGTCTGCCTCATAGCCTTCCTCTTCTCCCAAGGTTGGAGCGCCACTCACCTGAGCTTCATCCACCTCCTCTGACAGATCACCTGCTGGAGGTGCCACCTCACTGCTGACCTGAGACTTCTGCGCAGAGGGACAGAAAGACCAGTATTAGATGGAAGGATGGATTAGAATATTAAATAACACAAAGAGAAATTTAGAAATAATAAAACAGATTAAACTATTTATAATATAATAAAATATTAAATGTATTAATATGATTATTCAAATATAAATATACTCCTTTAATAATAATAATAATACTAGACAGAGATGCTAATAATATAAAACAAATATACATATAACAAATATATATAAAACAATATAAATACAATTTATAGTTAAATATTGAATACAATAAATTAATATTTTAAATAAAACAGTTTTCACATTATTATATTATAATAAATTATAAAAATGTAATAATGTTTATTAATATATACTTAATTATTATTATACTACTACTACTAGATAGAGGGATGAATTATAAATAAAATAATATAATGACAAATTAATGGATAAATAATTAAAACATTGCCATAATTAAGTATAACATTTTAAATTATATACACACACACTTTATTTACTGTTGTTGTTGTTATTACTAGATGGAGGGATGGAATTGTAATTAAAATAATATAATGAGAAATCAATTAAGAAATAATCAAAAATAAAACAATATTATCATTAAACAATATTATGTGCATTATGTAACATTATATAATCTAATTAAATAAAAAAATATTGATTATCAAACATTATATATATATATATATATATATGTGACCCTGTACCACAAAGCCAGTCTTAAGTAGCACAGGGATATTTGTAGCAATAACCAAAAATACATTCCATGGGTCAAAATGATTGATTTTT